GATCAGCTGCACAGGTCCACTGGATTACAAATTTAGAAAATTACTTCGCCACTTCATGTAAATTTTAAAAGAAGAATTTTCATTTCTACTTATGATACACTGAGCTTTACACTGAAGGAAGGTTTAGATGTTTTAAAATTTATGGACTTGTAAATAGATCCATGTACATGGCCAATTAAGGTTTATCACCACCATGGATTAACCATCTTTGGATAAAAATTTCAGAGCTTAGTTGTATCTAGGTTGTTGACCTCAATGTATTACATCAAAGTTGGTATAAAATATTTAATGGGGGGCGTATTTCAGGATAAAAGCTACCGCTACCCAAGATGAAATGGAAACACCTTGCAGTAATATCACAAGCAATAAAACCTTCTTGCACCTTGTGCAACAACTGGATTTTTGCTGAAAGCTAATTCAACATGAAAATAATTTCAAAAACCAAATACAGCCAAATGGATAGAAAGCAAAGGTTGAAATGCACAGCTCAGTGGAGCACCCAATCTTACAACCTTGCAAGTCAGGCCAAACTCTACAAGGAAAATGCAAGCCTTGAATTTTAAAAAGAATTCAATTAGCATCCTCAGTATTTCCATAATCAACAGCTGAATGCTAATTGAGAGCACAGCATCAAGCAGCAACGGAATCCCAGTGCAATAAGCAACAACACAGCAGCAGCAAATGCTACCTTCAGCTCGCATGCATAAATAAACAGAATTAGTAACTATCCAAGCATGGAAGGGTGACTTAATCTGTTTCGATTAGGTGCAGTTCAGCCTGGGGCCTTTGTGTTATATTTGAATGTATTCATCATGTTTAATTAAAAACCTAATAATCTAGGGTTTCAATTTGGGGGCTTTTTTCTTTAAAGTTCTAAACTGTATTTCCTGTGCTTTCTATTCCTAAATTCTATTAATTTAGATGACTTCCTGAAAGGAACAGTACTTTTAGCACGATGTACATGAACTTGTTTAACCATCCATACAACTCTCATAGGGAGCCTCCAGCCATTGCTTTGGTTCCATCTTTGCCCACACCACAGTATTTAATAAGCTTTATGAATTGGCCTAGCATTTCTTCCAGAATGTTTCTCTGGTTTGACCCAGTTTATTTGGCCTGAAAAATATGCCATGAGCTACCTGCTAAGGTGTTTCTGACAGTCACTTCCCGGAAGCAGAATTCATTTGCAGGATCTAGTACAGAATTTGACAGAAATTGGCATAAATTTGGCTTCAGTTCAAGAAGATTTAAAGTATCTCAGCCCCAAAGCAACTTCAATTAGAAACACCACATCTATGTACACACAAACTGTCAGGGGAAGTACTGAGAGAAAGTGTGAGATGGAAGGCTTCCTACTGTATAATCTGAGGTCTAAGATCTCCAGAATTAATGATTATCTAAAGGCCTAAGAAAAAGAGGTTGGGTGATAGGATGATGATGATGAAAAATTTGGGAGCTTTTTCCAAAAATGAAACTTTTAAGATCAGCTTTGGATATATGTAGAAGTTTTTCTCTTTGATGTTAATTCTTAATTATTATTACAAGTTTTAAAATGCTGGATTAAAGATGATCTTAATTATAGTGAAGAATTTTTTAAAACGATAACCTTGAACAAAGAGTCACCAATGTTTAAGCCCCTCCTAGGGAGAGACATTATCTTCATCATTAATAAGTCCTCATCCTTAGTAAGTTTATAAACCAGGAGGGCAATCAACTCAGAAATAAAGACTTTGGAGAACAAACAGTTGGCAGTTATAGCACAAAAATTAGCATGAGGAGGCAAAGGATTAACTGCCAGCAAAAGATGCAAACAGGAGATGCAGTTCAGAAGAGGGAGCAATGGCCGTGGGATGGACAGAGGAACTGAGCTAAGCCATGGAGACCGGTCAGGGTCCAGACTGGCATGACAGAGGTTAGTTTCTTCACAGAGCAGGGGCCTGCCAGGGTCAGGAGGTACCTGGGCCCAGCCTGTTCACTGCACAGGGGATTCAGGCCCTCAGGTGCTTATTCCACCAGCCTTCTCACAGGGGCAGCTGCTTCCAAGTATTTGTATAAATGTAAAGAGAAATAACCGTTAAAGTTAACAAAGTTTAAAAATAACTATTATAGAATGTTCCAAGGATACAGAAAACTGGGAGGGGAAAGAAAGGGAGGTAGGCCCATGTACTTAGTTTAGCTGGGACACATTTGTTTTGCTTATTCCTGTGATTCCTGAAGTGAGAAAATGTGGTAAATTCAACATGAGGGGTCCATATGAACACAGATGTTTTTTCATAGCTACAGCCAGGCTCAGGTGAAGAGGGGACTGCCTTGTTGCCACATAAATCTATTCAAAGATGTGATTTGGATGCATTCATCAAAAGCTTCCTTCAATCTCTCAATTATTCAATCACTCCCTCTTACTCACTGTTGAGGTTTCAGAAAGTGAAGCTTCGCTTCCTACAAATAAGGGAACCATTTGATCCCTAGGCTCTGTAAGGGCTGGATGACTGCCAAAACATTTCTCAAAACAAGAAGCAAACATGATAAAAACGAGCCCAAACTGACATGGATTTATGCAGTTAAGGATCATTATCCTATACTCAAAATATTCACCACTCTGGAGTCATGTTTTGTTTTTCAAAATAAAGCCAGGCTCTTTCTGATGGGTAAGACCCCCCTGACCCACCCCTCTTCCCATCTCACTGCTAAAAATCCCTGAGCAGCTGCAGTGGGGACACAGTCAACTTCTTGCCCAATATAAGGAAGTGCTGTAGGAAAACGAAATCAGCTTTCTTTTAAGCAGGAAAAGAGGACTTGGTGCTGTATATTTTTAAAATTCTAGAGGGAATGAAAGGTCATGGGAGAAAGGAAGGAAGGGAGGGAGGAGAGTCATGGCTGGAAAGGAGCTGGAGGCAGGAGTAAGAAGAGGGTCTGTGGGGGAACACTGAGAAGAGGCAGAGAGGAGAGAAGACGCCAAAACGACATGGGGACAGAAGGGAGATGCTCAAGAACTGCCGGAGAGTACGACGCATACTGACACGGACCTATAGATTGTGCTATGCCAGGCCAAGAAGAGTGAAAGAAATCTTGGAAAGAGTGGTTAAACGGTCACATGATACATACGTTTCATCTCCTTATGTCCTTCTTCCACAAAGGCTCTTTGTAGAATTTTAAAATCTTAATCAAATCTCTTATCTCTGCGCATAAGTATGTTTATACTGAAAAACAATGTCAACATGACTTCTCAAAACGACCGAATATCGTCATTATTTGGGCCATTGTCTGAACATTAAAGTATGTTTAAGATATTTCCACCTCTTTACTCATCATGTAAGATTTTAATTTTTTTGTATTTAAAACAGCTACACTAACATCATCATAAATCTGATAACATTTAAAGTCTTGAGGGACTATTAGACAGCACTCTATTACCAACCCCTCGAGGGCCATTTCAGTTTATCTTTGCTGCCTCCCAGTTTCGTCCTCATTCCTCTCAACCTTGCCCACCTGGAGCCAGAGCTACTCTAGGAACAAAGTCTCTGCTCTACCTTCCACGTACATCTCAGATCTCAGCACTTCTCTCCACCACGCCGCTCCCGCACTACTCAGTCACCAGCCCCAGCCTGGACTCTGACAGGAGCCCCCGCAGGCCACTGGACTCAACAGCCAGAGTGAGCCCCACCTCCAGAGCCAATCACTCCTCTGCTCAGAAGCTGCTCTGTGCAGAGCAAATTGCAAGGCCCTGACCTGTGTTCCCTCTGGGACACACCCTCCTCCCCCAAACCCACCACCCACCTCTCCTACTACTCCTCTTCTTGCTGAGCTGCAGGTATATTCTTGCCTATTTCTTGAACACGCCAAGCATGCTGTCACCTTTGGGCCCAGAATTCTCTTCTCTCTGATATCCAAAAGGCTCCCCTCCTCACTTAGCTAAGGTCTCACCTAAATGTCAGTTACCAGGATTTTTTCCTGGTCCCTCTTACATAAGACAGTGCTCTCACCCGGGCGATTCCCCATCCTCATTACCCAACTCTATTTTTCCTCAGTGCTCTACCACCACTTGACACATACTGATTTATTATGGTTTCCCCTCAGAACATAAGACTCTTAAGGAGGGACCTTGTGTTCTTCTTGATACAGCCTGTCTAGCACAGAACTAGGCACACAATGAGCACTCAATAAATAATAATGAATAAATGAAAGAGAGCAGGATCAAGAAAGCACATACAATTCCTAAACACTTTCTCAACACGCAGGTGAGGAACTTGCAATCAGTATGTGTCTCAGTGCCAGCCTTCATCTAAATTTCATTCCACTTGAAGGGCAAGTGTCAAGCGGTAACATTTGTACTGAAAACTGTATTTGCACAAGCACAAGAAATCTGTTAAGTCTTTTATAGCAATACCTTTTACAAGTCACAAGATGGGGATGTAGCTTCATGAGAACTCCGTCTGCTGGATGGGAATCTATGGGTTTGCAAGTCTGTATTTGTGGGCACATTTCTCTCTCCCCACATCCTTCAATGGGCCACAACAATTGAATCAACATGTATAACCCACTGTATTTACTCAAGCAAGACTATGCTTCTTTTAATTAATGTCCTTCAGTAGGTTAGGGGTCCTACAAGTCACCAACCCTACTCTAGGTTATGTATCAACTGATTTTAACATGCCTGCATCTTTAAACAGGGAGGTACCACAAGCTAGCTTGCATCAAAAATAAATTCAAATTCACTTTTTTAAGGAATAACTATCGATTTCTTCTGTCTTTCCATGAAATGTGGGCAAATCTTTCCCATCATCTACGGAATCTTATCTTACTAAAATCAAGTCTTTCTGTACAATTATGAGGCTTAAAGAAAGGCTCTTGCCTTTTGACTAACGGATGCCATGGACAGACTCTCCGCATAACTGAATCTTCTGAATGAGCTCCTTTCCCTGAGTAGCAGGGAGGTCACACACCAAGAAGCAAACGCCCCAATGACCCAGAACACGAGGCAAACGCAGGTTCATGCTCACCACTTCATCCTCGGTCCAGCACTTCTCGATCAGCTTGGGCACAGGCTTCTTCACCAGGCGCTGCAGGGCTTTGCCAGCATCATAACCACTTTCATGTAGCTAAAACAACAACAATTTTAGTTAATTAACTGCACCAAACAACAGAACTGGAAATGAATCAACAAAAGGCAAGCCCTGCATTTACTGTCTCTAACAGTGCAATCCCCAACCCCTGGGCCACAGACAGGTACCAGTCCCTGGTGCCAAAAAGGTTGGGGACCACTGCTCTAATAGACAAAATCAAGAAAGGGACATACAGACTCACAATCATTTTAGTCAGCATGGTAATCTTTTGGAACCATCCCCTAAGTTCTAGGTGTTCTGGGAGAGGGAGACAGAAAGGCAGAGAACACTTTGGCAACGATAGGAATAGGATTAACAACAAAGCATACACCTAGTGAACATTTGGCCTGGCAGAGTGCTCAGCACATTCCATGCACTCGTTATCTCACCTGACACTGTGATGAAAGTATTTTCTCATCTAATCTTATGGGATAGGAACTATTGTCACCCCATTTTACAGATGAGGAAACTGAGGCACAGAAAGATTAAGTAAAGGTACTCACCACACTGAGCCAGTAAGTGGTGGAGCCAGGACTAACACAGCCAGCAGGATACCCACTCTTGTCCCCTTTTCCCCAAAGCGGCCTAAAGGCATACTAGATTATGTTCTTTCCTTTTAGCATTTCTGAAGTTTTTCAACTATAGTAATTTCACTAAAAAACATTTAAAGTGCCTGAACTATAAGAGCTTTTCAAAGAAAATAATTATGTAATAGTATGCTAATTTTCAGTACTTACAAATGAAGATTCTAATTTATCTACACATACAATTCCCGGTAGGACCCAATTTCTCTCATGTTAAAGCCAATCAACTTTTCTCACCCTGTATCTTTTCAACCCAGTGCACTGCCTGATACCACCGACTCCTTCTTCCCTTGCCAAGACACTCCTGCTGTGGCTTCTATGACCCCAACCACTTCTCTTAGTTCCTGAGTCCCAACTTATAGATGGTAGAGAAATAGCAGGTAAAAAGATAATCTTGCTCTCTCTACTTCTCCAAACTGTTACTTGTCACTCAAAATTCTCACTGGAAATCTGCTTTTCCTTTATATAGCTAGTCTCCTGACAAAAGAACTGATTTTGGCTAAGACTTGTATCTCCGGTGCCTAACACGTCCATAGCATAAGGTGATACTCTAAAAACACTTGCTAAATTAATAAAGAATAAATAAATAAATGCCTTCAACGATTGTCCCTAGGTAGACGCAGTCAAAGTCTAAATCTCTGTGTATTCAAACTCATTCAGCCTGCGATGACTGAGTGCCTAGCATGTTCCAGGCAATGAATGTATCAGACCCTGGGATACAGCAGTGAGCAACAGGCAGAGGAATCGCTGCCCTTACGGAGGAGACAATCTGATCTTTTCACTGTGCTTCATCCCCTTATTTCGACAATCTGCCAGCATTTGCTGAATACCCAGGACAAGTTAAAGCACAAGCCTTAATAAATCACAGTCCTTATTTCTAGGAAACTCACAAACTGGTGGGGACATGTGGGGATACAACACATAGAAGATGACATGATCAAGTCGGCTGCTGGTTGCCTGGGTTTAGGCAAAGAGCTATGGAATCACAAGATTCCTCTACTAGAAGACTCATGAGAAGGACACGCAGATTGCCTTCCTAGCAACTGCCGTAGCCCCAGGGCTGGGCACACAGTAAGTGGCAATAAATACTGGAAATGAATGAATGAATGAATGTTGGAAACATACACAAGTCTCTCTTTGAACTATCTAACTACTGTTGAAAGGGGTATCAAACATATCCATTTTCATAGCTCTCTCAGCAAAATGGAAAGTATTAAAAATTTAAATTTCCAGAGCATTCTTCCTCTTTAGAGGACAGTAATTTATTTTAAATCAAGACTGGGAATTCCAGGCTGTATGTCTTCTGTAAGTCCACTATCTTAAAACAAAACAAAATATCTACAACAATGATCAATGCTGGGTCTCACTTTGGAGTGGTGGTAATAGTGAATAAATATTAACATTTACTTTTATGGCATTCATCGTTAGACTTTGTAAAATGTTACCATAATTTGCAAATGTTTGAAAACTATTCAATCTAGCATCCTTTCAGAGGTATAAAAGGATTTACAATAAAGTTAGATTTTCATACTTTGCCTTATATCCAAACAAATATATATTTTGCTAAGTTCTATAATATAATGAGAATTTATAATGACAGCTTAACATGAATTAAAACTGAATAAAAGGAAAAAATCAAATGCCTATTCAATTGAAAAAGCACACATTTTAGTGATAATCTGAAATCGAATCAAGCTGATCAAATTATGAATTTCTAATAAAAGGCTCATGGCAAAATTAACATTTTATGAGGTCATTATAGTTTATGGAATAATTAATTATAAGAAAAGTTTGAAAAACTATGGACTTCGGAGCCAGAATGCACGGATTCAAATTCTAGCTCTATTACTTACTAGGTATGTGACCTTGAGCAAGTTATTTACCGTTGTCGTGCCTCAATTTCTACATCTTTAAAAATGGGTATAATAATAACATTGACCTTTTAAGGCTATTGTGAGGATAATATTACAAATATATTAGCTACTTCTTTAAAAAAGGAAAGAAAAAAAGGAAGTAGTCTCATCTCGACTTTTGTCAATCTTCTAGATTAGACAGTAAGTAGTCTTTTCAGAGACAGAAAAATTTTTTTTAAACTATAAACAAAAACCACTTATGTTTTGCATAATTACCCATGTCAATACTTTATGAAATTTGATTAAAACTTTGGTACAGTACACAGGAAAATTTTTTAATTTTTCAATCTTATGTGCCCAGTAGTAGGAAATCACGCATAAGAACATAAGGCCCACTCTAAAAGCAAACTGCTGAGTGCATGTTTAAATCACATCTCATTAATCCCTATGACATTCCTGCCTTCTGGTGAACCAAGGAACCAAGGAGAGCTGTAAACTATAGATGGAAGAAATGCTTCCACTAACTGGCTGAGTGAATTGTGGCTGGTGAGCTTGTCCGAGAGGAGGGCTACTGCCTGCACGTACCTCTCAGCCACATTTCTAGCGAGGTGTTTAACTGAGAAAGAGGCATTTCCCCTAAAAATACCTCAGTATTCTTCCTTCTTTTATAAAAGTTAATTTCGGATTGTACTTTCCCCTGAAGAAGCTGTTACAATTTATGTGGTAACTAGAGCTTCTTCTATTCTGTTCTCTAAATAATGGGTAATTCCCTCCTTTCATTTGATCTACTGTCTGCCTGGCCTCTTAAAATATTCCTATTCCTGATCGTTCCATGATGTAAACCCAATAAATATTTAGTGCCTACCCCTCCCACCCCAATACAAAGAAACATATGAAAAGTAAAGAGTGTGGAATTATTTACCAAAAGTCGTGAAATACTTCTTGAATGGATGAAGGCAGAACATTGTCATGCTGTCATCAGTATCTCATAGGGGCTAGGACAAGGCTGGGTCAAGTGGCTGTTCTGGCATGCCCTCCTCCTGGGGACCAAAGGGCATCTTTCTAAAGGGGCACCTTCCTCTCTACCTACTAGGAATCTTGTCTGAGAATATTCTCAGAGAGAGCTTTACTTACATCGTTAAAGAAATACTTTGATTATGTTTTATTAAAGATACACTTTAATATAACAGAAGTTGTTATGGCCCACATAGTTCTGGAACAGGGAAGATCATCTTTATAGCACTTCGGGGAAACTACTGGAGTTCAGGGCATCCTTCATTCCTGCAACACGAATTTATTGAGTGCTCAGCTGTGTCAGGTACTCTTCTGAGTGCCAGGATGGATGCAGCTCTGAACAACAAAGACAACAGACATCAGAAACTTCTGACTAAGAGTAGTGCACAGCCTGAGAATCAGAATAAACGTGCCGTTCCAGTGTGACACATCTATCTACATGTCACGTCCAAACTTTAGGGTCCTAAAAGGTTGGGGTCTACCTTCTTTGCTTAATGCATCATGATCAAATAAGCCCGTCTTAAAAGGGGTTTGTTTGTTTGTTTGGATGATTATGAAGACTTTCTTCAGATGGTGGCCAAAATAATATTCGAGCAGGAGCTAAAATGGATATTTCAAGTGTATTCCTCATGTAAATAAGAGCTGGTAAGCCTACCAAATTCCTGGCTATCTTAAATCTCTAAAAATTATTATGAAAAACATTCCCCTCTAATATGGCATCAAGCTCTGAAGGAATGAAATAATTTCATCTTGTAAAAAACATTATGTAGGTTTCAAATTTTAAATACAACCACGCAGATCACAACCACACAGAAATATCAGGAAATTCAATGCAGGCTTTCTAACACTGCTAAGGTAAAAGGTCTTTCAATGTGAATAAGACTTCCTACCATTTCCCTAGCTGTTAATAAGGCTGTTCAAAGAAACTGCAATGAAGATGAAGGAAAAAAACTCTCAAATGTCTTAGAGCCTCACTTTGTAGCCATAGAAAAGCAATTAAAGCAAGATAATTAAACCTTTCTGTCCATTTTGCAGCCAAGCCAGGCTGGTAAAATCTGGAATGAAATGCAATTTTAATGTAGAAGGCAGAGAATTACACATTTTGGAACTACTGCAAAAAGCAGGTACCAAGATTCTTTACTCAAATCAGTTTTCATCTCCAAAAGCTACCAATGGCAGAAGCACTTAGGTCTTATGCCATCTCTGTCACCCGGCCCACCACTACAGCAGCATGTCACTTAAGCAGAAACCACTTTCAAATTCATCACCACAGGTGTGTGGTGGTTTTGTTTCTGGTTTTTTTTTTTCCAATCCAATGACCAAGGAAACGTTCACTTGTAAATCTGTCTGCCTCTTTTCTGCATCACTAAACTGCTTGACTACACTTCTACACAAACAAAACCTGTCTTCCCTAAACTACGGGTCAAGCAAGATCTTGGATTTATGGCTGGGGAATTTGATAACAGAACAGTGATTCTTCACCAATCCACTAGCCATTCAAGTCATTCCATCACAGACCTATGTTTTGCCGTTTTCCAGCAATTTG